GGAAATCATCGGACAATCTCTTTGATATCCCATGCGAGTAAAGTTTTGCTAAAGGTAATATACAAATGGCTACAATCATACATTGACAGAGAACTTCCAAAGGTTCAAGCCGGATTCAGAAGAGGCAGTGGAACGAGGGATATAATTGCTAATGTACAATGGATCTTGGCTGAAAGCAGAGAATATCAAAAAGATGTTTACCTGTTCTTTATTGACTATGCAAAGGCTTTCGATTGTGTGGATCATGACAAGCTATGGACAACATTGCAAAGCATGAGTATTCTGGAACACTTAATTGTGCTCATGAGGAACCTGTACATGGACCAAGAGGGAGTTGTTCAAACAGAACAAGGGGACACTGAATGGTTTAAATTAGGAAAGATGTGCAACAGGGTTGTATTCTTTCACCATACTTATTCAACCTGTATGCTGAGCAACTCATCTGAGAAGCTGGGTTCTATGAAGAAAAATGTGGCATCAAGATTGGAAGAAGACTCATTAACAACCTGCGATATGCAGATGATACAACCTTGCTTGCTGAAAGTGAAGAGGACTTAAAATATTTACTGCTGAAGATCAAATGACCATAGACTTTTGTATGCATTGCACCTCAATGTAAAGAAAACAAAAATCCTCATCACTGGACCAATAAACAAGATCCATATAAATGGAGAAAATACTGAAGTTGTCAAAGATTTCATTTTTCTTGAATCAACCATCAACAGTCATGGAAGCAGCAGTCAAGAAATTAGATGATGTATTGCATTAGGTACATCTGCTGCAAAAGACCTTTTTAAAATGTTAAAGAGCTAAGATGTCAGCTTGGGGACTAAGGTACACCTGACCCAAGCCACAGTATTTTCAATAACCTCATATGCATGTGAAAGCTGGACAGTGAATAAGGAAGATTGTAGAAGAATTGATGCATTTGAGTTGTGGTGTTGGTGGAGATATTAAAAATACCATGGGCTGCCAAAAGAACAAACAGATCTGTGTTGCAAGAAGTGCAGCCTGAGGGCTCCTTGGAGGCCAGGATGGCCAGACTTTGTCTCTCATACTTTGGACATATTTTCAGGAGGGACCAGTTGCTGGAGAAGGCTGTCATATTTGGTAAGGTGAAGGGTCAGAGAAAAAGAGTAAGACCCTCAGCAATATAGACTGGCCAAGTGGCAGCATCAATGGGCTCAAGTGTGGCAACAATTTTAAGGTTATGCCAGGAGCGGGCAGTGTTTCATTCTGTTGTGCATAGGGTCACTATGAGTCAGTATTGACTCAATGGCACTTAACAATAAAAAGGTCACATTTTGCCAGCACATAGACTTTCTTTCCATGGGTCCTCAGCTGCTCTATTTCTCCATGGCCTCATCTCTGCCTTCATCTCTGGTGTCCCTGCTTCTCTGGATACGGGCCCACATTCTGCTCATGTTTTTCTCCCTTTATGGTCCTAGGGTGTTCTGTTCCTGGTCTGTAAAATTAACTACTCCGTCTTTTTGTTATAAAACTTCTATCTTTACAATTGAGACAGTCACAATTAGTCATGATAACAATTACTATCAAATCATAACTGCACAACATTTTTTCTTTGAAGTTTGTCTTCAAGGCTTATCTAGACCTTCTCTTAAAAGTTTCTTGCTCTACACCTTTGTCTCTCATTGTCCTTTGGGCAATGGTCTGGAGTGACAGTTGAGTATCAAAAGCTTGGAGTTATGCCTAATTCCTATTCACTGTACTCTAGGATTCATTACAAATGAATACTCCTCATTTCAAGCAAATACTATGAGTACTAAGAACCATTCAACGAACACTGATTACACAGCAGGCATTGTGCTAACGATTTTATACATACTGCGGCTTTTCATTCTCACAACCAAAGAATCAGTACAGTGCTATTTTCTGCTGCTGTTTCAGATAAAAGGAAACTGGAGTACGTAGCGGTTAAGCACAGAGTAGTAAGAGAGGGCTAAGGTAACAGCTCACAGTAAACAGAACCCTTACCCAAACAACACACAGCAACAAATCCAAAGTCAGACCCACTGTCATCAAGTCGATTCTGACTTAGAGCGACAGCTCACTCTGACTCTTTCCAGGAGCAGACAGCCTTGGCTTTTTCCCACAGAGCAGCAGTGGCTTTGAAACTCTGACCTGGCATTTAGCAGCCCAATGCCTAACCCACAGCACCACTAGGGCTCATTTCTTCAGTGAAAACACAGTCTTTTCCCCACTGGTTCAGGGAGGTGTAGCTGACGCCTGCTTCAGAAGTTGTAGTTCTTCAGCACAGGCTTTGAACCAACCATTGGAGTGACTGTGAGGAGTTTCGTTTTTGCTTTGCTTTGCTTTTAGTTTTAGGGATTAAGGTTTTTCATGTCTTATCTGTAAGAGTGCAGTCCCCTTGCTGACCCAGACAACAAGGCCCCAAACAAACACAGGTGGACTTGTAGAAGCTCCCAGTCAATGGCATGGCAGACTGGGAACACATTAAAAATGAAAACAGCTAACCATGAGAGCTTGCCATGGGTCAGGCTCTACACTATGCACCTGAGATGTGCTAACTCATTAATCCCAATGGCCTGTGAGTTCGGCACCATCAGTGGCAGACAAGTTGTCCACAACTTCCACTCAAGGTCCAGTAAAGAGAATGAGGGCCCACCTCCCTTCTCTATGTTGTCTCTAAATCTACAGCATTCTGCAGCTCTATTTCAACATATAGTTATCCATGTCTCAGATCTGACCATGGCCACCTTTTCCACCAATTTCTCAATCCCAGAAGGCTGGGCTGTGCTGACTCCACTCACAGGGCTTGCACTGTAACGTTTACATAGAGGAGCTCCATGAGCGATTATTCATTCAAACTGAGTGAAGACCTGAAGAGATCAAAAGCCACTGTACTCAGACATAGAGTCTAGTTATTTTATTACATTTCAAAGCTTAGTTTAAACCATAAAGAAGTCACTTACATTTAAATTAATGCAGGGTATGTTTTCTGGATTCATAATTTGAGAAAAAATAGACATAGCTTTTGCCACTTGGTTCTAGAAAGGGAAAAAAAACAAAAAAGTCATAGTCTAAATCATATGAACACTACTCTATTATAGATTCCTTAAGGAAGTCAGGGAAAATTCCTGTTGATAGGACCCTAAGGGGGTCTAAGTTCACAATGAAAACAAAGTCATTTTTTTTTTAATGTGCAATCCATAAAATGTTTTATCTAGGAGCACATAACTAGATGCTTCAACAATCCTGTCTGAGTTTTTAAGGTAAAGGCATAAAGTTGGCATTTCTCTTTCTCCCACTAGAATCACCTTAACAAAAGAAGACTGAGAAATAGAAATGCAAACAGCGTGCCTGACAAAACTAGAAAACTAGATGCTCTGCCAAAACATCGATGATAAAACATGTCAAGTAGTTCACATTTTCTCAGACCCTGGAAAAGGGCAGCTGTGAGGAAAAGTCCTTCACAGAAGTGTCAAAGCTCTAACTGTCCTCCCCTGAGGTCTGACTTTCGGAAGTCCTTTCTTCTCTGGACCTCTGTTGCCTTACTCTAGCCAGTGAGAGGGATAGGCTAAATGAGCATCAGTGCCGCTTCCAAATAAGAGTGTTTGCATCTAGCTAGAGGAAACATGATGGACCCCGTTTCTAAAATGGGGTGATCCAGTAATCCTGATTTATCTGATGTGAATTCAGCTTTGGAGAGCATTCAAACTGAATTACTCTCCCAGAACATTAACTATTAAATTGATTATTTGCAATTTTCATTTTAGATACATGAGAAATTTCTTTCAGAGTGCTGCTCAGAATCTTATCTAACTAACTCCTTCTAGATAGAAGTACAAGTTAGAGCCTCAGTCAGAAATGGAGGCTTTCTTGGAGGGATACATGCAGATATAAGCGTCACAGGGATTTTTCCTTCAAGCTACAGTCTTCACGATAAAGCAAGAACCAATGAAAGTAAAAAAGTCCTATGTAGTCATGTGCATCCAAATCCTTACCTGATTCAGAGCTAATGCCACAGCAAAACACAATGCTCTCCTGGTGAGAATTTCTCCTTTGATTAGGGCTTCTTCTCTTAATGTAGTACAGATTTTTAAAGACTCAGGGCTATTCTGTGAAGAGACAAGATTGCCTAAGGTCAGAATTTGCCTAAACCTATTGTAAGCCATTAAAGATTAATTTAAGCCCTATATAGAAGCTACACTCTCTCCCTACTTATCCATGTGGCTAGGTTCCAAAGACCTGGTCGTTATGCAAAAACCTGTGTTATGTGAAAATGAAGGAAGCCCACATCAGATTACAAAATGGAGGATGACTACATCATTACATCACTGCCAGATTACAGCATTACATCATTCCCAAACCACTGAGACTCACGGCCCAGCCAGGCTGACACATAAACTTAGCATCACAGTCAGTGGTACCCTTGCTTTGCCCCTCGGCATTCGTTATTGCCAGACATATGACATCAACGTGAAAAACAGTTGGATAGCAGATTTTTCACTATTGTCATAAATGGGAAATGTCAACTAGATAGTTGACAAGTTAGGAGAGGATGTATTTGCAAATAAGCCAGGTTATCTACATACATATTAACAGCTAAATCTAAAGGAACTTTATTTTTCAAGCTCTGTTAATGTTCTGAGTTCAGGCAGTGTTAAACCGCAAATACAAACGTCTCTCTATACGGACGTTCAGTGCCGTTGAGTCAGTTCTGACTCAGAACAACCCTGTATTAGGTTTCCAAGGTGCGGCTGGTGGGGTCTAAACCAACATCCTTATGGTTAGCAGTTCAGTGCTTATCCTACAGTGCCATACCATGACTCCGTTTCTGTACGTAAATATTACTATATAAAGTTTACACACTCGGTCTGCTACTATACTCAAGAATTTAACAAAGCTAAGCAACACTAGGAAATGCATACTGGTGCAGGTAGAGGGCGGCTTTCCAATTGAAAAATACTCATGTAAGTCAAATGTGTAAAAATAGTAACACTCATTTGAATATGACGTTGTTGTCACGTGCCCTCAAGTAGGTTTCGACTCACAGAGACCCAGTATAGAGTTTTTGAGGAGTGCCTTGTGGATTTGAACTGCTGACCTTGCAGTCAGAAATTCAGTGCTTCTCCTTCAGTGCCACACCACAATTCCTAATTTGAATATAAACTATGAAAATTATTGCTGTGGAGTCAGTTCCGACTCACACTGACCCTATATAGGGTTTCCAAGGCTGTACCTCTTTGCGGGAATAAAAGTCTCAAGGAATGTCTGGTGGGCTTGAACTACTGATCTAGTGGCTTCCAATCCAGTGCTTATTGCACAGAGCCATTGTGCTTTTAAACTATGAAAATAAAAATTTAAAAAAATAATAAATAAAATCTAAGAGTGATGAAAAGCAGGTCAGCAAGAAAGCAATGGTAAAATGGTAAACTGAGTCCTCTTCTTTTGGGCATGCTCAAAGCAGAGAAAGCTTACGAGAACAACGTTAGCTTTGAGTCTGGGTTTTTATCTGTCAGGACATGATTTGCAATTCAAATCCTCAGAGTAAAGTCTGAATTTGATAAGAGCGGACAGTTTCCAGAATTGGCTTGGAATCAGTGATGGCTGACCAACTCAATTTATCAACGCCACTGAACAAAACAAGTTATTCTTGGTCACAACGCAGCGAAGAAAAGTCCTTTAAGCCCTTGCTACATAACAGAATTAAATCTTTCCACTTCAGTACAAAGGGACTTCAAAAAGCTTGTGGAAATTTTTCACTTTCATTTTTCCATAAGCTTCTTGAAGCCCGCCCCCATCATACACACTCAGGGAGGTGTGCCTAAATAGACAGACACCATTTCTGCCCTTAAGCAAGAAAACTGGGCATTACAAAGCTGAATAACTGAGGCTCAAGAGCTGTTCTGTTTGCCTTCTCTTTCAAAGAACCATGTTATTGCTGTGAAGTGCCGTTGAGCTGATTCTGACCCATAGCGATCCTGTAGAGGCTTTCCAAGGAGCAGCTGGTGAGCTTGAATCGCCGACCTTGAGTTCAATCGGCTTTGCAGTCTGGCACATTAACCCATAGCACTACAGCAGGCACAGCACCATAGCTGTTGTTGTTGTTGTTGTTGTTGTTAAGTGCCATCGAGTCGGTTCCGACCCATAGCGACTTTGAGCAGGGTTTCCGAGGCTGTAAATCTTTACGGGAGCAGAAAGCCTCATCTTTCTCCCACGAACAGCTGGTAGTTTCAAACTGCTGACCTTGCGGTTCGCAGCCCGATTTGTAACCACTACACCACTAGAGAGACGGGCACAATTAGAAAGGATCATCTAATGCAGGGGGCAGCAAACAAGCCCTCAGGCCACATTCAGCCCATGGCTATGAATGGCTTTTACAGTTTTAAATCTTATAAAAACAAAAACAAAGAAGAACATGTGACAGAGGTCATTTATGGCGGAGACCATATATGGCACTCAAAGCTTAACTGATTTACTATCTGCTCTTTTACACAAAGTCAGCTGACCCTTGACTCCAACCCCGACATTCTACAAATAAATTGACCAACTCCAAGCTTAAGTCAGCTAATGCTAAAGTTGAGAATGGACACCAAGTTTCCCATTTCCAGTTTATTTTTCTCTCCACTATAACCCATTAAGTAATTGTCTCTGTCCTCAACTAGTTCGTCTGACTGTAACAGGCATGTGTCATAGAGCTACTGTGAACTGGGTACGGTGTTGGGTGCGGGAACAAATGGATGCCTCAAGGAGCTTACACTTGAGGAGCGGAATGAAATGTGCCTCTATTTAGTACACGTGGGTGACACCAAAACAGCACAATCAAGGGATCTTCGCAGAAGAGAGATCCCACTTCCAGCTTAGACAATCACAGAAAACTTCGCAGATGAGTACCAGGTCTCCCTCAAGTTAGCCGCTGAAGGATGTTCAAATTTCCGTGGGGAGAGGACAACAGGGAAGAATGGTCTAGTACAGTCAAGCATGAACTCAGTAGCAAGATGACCCCAAGACAGAGCTCCAACCCAATATACTGCCTCTTGTTCTCCCAATGGATAGTTCCAGATAAGGGTACAGTACAAAATTGTTTTTCCCATGATAAAACTGTCTGACATGGCTAACTTAAGTTTTCTAAAATTGAATGCATTTTAAATGAAAACACTTGCACCAGATGGAAAACAGATGTCCTCAGAGTAACTGAATTTTATCTGTAGAAAGGGGAAAAAAAATCATCTCTCATGAACTACCCACAGGGGAGATAGTCTTACCAGTTTGTAGCAAATTGCAAAGGCAAGGACATAGGTATCTTTGGTAAATTTCATGTCTTGATTTTTCATTTGTATCAATACTTCCAATGCACCTGCCAAAAGTCAAAAGTGGGCCAGCAGTGTTACTGAATGAATCTGAGCCAGTGTGGAGTCCTCTACTGTTGCTCTGAGCTCCAATCTACTCGGCACCATTGAATAACAAATGTGTTTCAGCACCATAAAAACTAAGTGTCAAAGTCAGTTAGCAATTAACTAACTTTTAAAGTAAATCTTTGTATCATCAGGCAAAAAGAACTAACATCTTAAAACCTGCTACATATTCAGCCTAAGTAAACACTGGCATGTTTAGTACTGGGCATGCCATGTAATGCAATAATGTTTTCAGTCTCAAAAGATGAGGTGTCCCACTCATCAGGGTTAGTACAGATAATTTCTGCAGGGTTTTATTTTTCTTCTAATTATTATGTCAGTAAAGATAGCGGAATTTCTAACAAGTACACATTGGAGTCCTGGTGTGGCGCTGCGGATTAATGCGCTGAACTGCCAGGTCAGTTTGAACCACAAGGTCGGTGGTTCAAATTCACTAGCCGCTCCTCAGAAATCCTATACAGGGTTGCTATGAGTTGGAACTGACTCGGCAGTACTTAGCAAACAAACAAAAAGCAATACGTTGCAGTACTTACTTTGATATTTGCCTTTGATAAATAACATGTCCATCAAAATATTGAATGATGTGGCATCTGAAAAGAAACCTTGCAAATGCTAGTGAAGAAAAACAACACAGCTTGGTTAAAAGCCATGGCATTCAAGTGGCACTTACATACTGAATCCTATCTGTCTAGGATTTTGTTTTCTTTACACTTTACTCATCTGGCTTCCTGAAGTCACTAGTAAGTCTCTGAGATACGAAGGACTTGGCTCTCTTGGTTGCCGTGTGCCTTTGGGAGTGAGTATGTGGAACATGAGGCAAGAGACCTCTGGTTTCAGGAATACAGCAAAGAACATCTTCATGAAACGTGGTTCTGCTAGGCTTAGCGGAAAAGAGATCAATTCACCCTGGCAGGGCTAGTCTGGGACTTGGGTACCAGGAACTTAACATAAAATAGCAAGAAGCTGAAAATATACTTGAGGATTACAACAGGAGAGTTTCTTACAACTAACTCCTCTACGGGAAAGTAGGTAATAGAATTGTTTATTCACTTTTAAAAATAATCCATTAAAAGAGAGGTTTCTCAACGTTTGATTTTTTTCAATTTGTTTTATGTCATAATAACATGCATGTCATGACATTAAATGTCTTGCTCTAGTTTACTCTTATTTTTGAGAGTTTATGATTCAGACTGTGCTCTAGGTACTGTGAATGAAGTGATGATGAACAAGATACATACCCTGCCCATAAATTCTAGTGGAACTTATAATTAGACAATGAACAAGTAAAGAAACAAAGCAAAACAAATAAAAATACACTTTCAGGTATCAGCAAGGGTTTTGATGACGAATGACTCAGGATCAGAGGAGAGAGAAGATGGATGGTGGTGGTCATGGGCAAGTCTCTGAGAAGAGCCCTGGCTGAAATGAGGGAGAAAGTTCAATGATGAGGGGACAGGACATTCCAGTCAGAGGGACAATAGATACACAGGCCCTGGGGCAGGTCATGAACTTGGTATTTCTGAGAAAACTAAATGACCCTACACAGGAACGGGTCTGAGTTTTATTCTAAGAGGGAAGGGAAGCCTGTCCTCATGGAAAAAAATAATGTGAGTCACAAGTATGAGTCATGTATTCTAAATGTTCTAATAGTCACATCAAAGAAAAGTAAAAAGAAATAGATGAAATTAGTTTTAATAATAGGCAGGCTAACCCACTATGTTCACAACTATATAATTTCAACATCTAATCATATAGAAAATTATTAACGAGGTATTTTACAAGTACTTGAAATCTGTCTTGTAGTCTGTATACACAGCACATGGAGCCGCATTCAAGGGCTCAACGGACACATGTGGCTCGTGGCTGTCACCACACAAGGCAGGGCAGCATTAGAAGGCACACAGAGTAGCGCAGGATTAGGCCTTAGGCCGAAGGTCACTGGACTCTAATGTAGCTGCTGTTCCACGAAACTGATTTATACATGAATGTTTTCAAGCACTGGTAGTTAACAAACAAAAACCTTTCAATTTTGTTTTCTTTTAATCACAAAAATTAACACTTGCAGAGTCCTGTTGTGGCGCTGTAAGGTAAGCACTGGACTGCTAACTGCAAGGCTGGTGGTTCAAATTCACCAGCTGCTCCTCAGAAACCCTACACAGGGTCATTATGAGTTGGAACTGATTGGATGGCTCTTAACAACAACTGTAAATCAATAAAAATTAAAAAACCAAAATATGTAAAGTAAAAAGTGAGAATTATCTGTAATCCTACAACAGATCTGTGTTGAAAGAAGTGCAGCCAGAGTGCTTCTTGGAGGCCAGGATGACCAGATTCTGTCTTTCATACTTGGGACATATTGTCAGGAGGGACAAGTCGCTGGAGAAGGATACCATGTTTGGTAAGGTAGAGGGTAGAGAAAAAGAGGAAGACCCCCAGTGAGATGGACTGGCAAAGTGACAGCATCAATGGGCTGAAGCGTGGCAAGAATTGTGAAGCTGTCCCAGGACCAGGCAGTGTTTTGTTCTGTTGTGCATAGGGTCGCTGTGAGTCGGTATTGACTAGATGGCACCTAACAACAACAACCACAGCTTAAAGGACACCAATGGCTTGGTATATACTCTTTCAGATTTTTAACACATATATACTAGTATGTGGAGTTCCTGTGTGGTGCTGTGGGTTAATGTGCCAGACTGCAAAGCCATTTGAACTACAAGGTTGGCGGTTCAAGCTCACCAGTCACTCTTTGGAAACCCTATACAGGGTCGCTATGGGTCGGAATTGACTCGATGGCACTTAACAACAACAACATACTAATACGTGGAGTCCTGGCATGGTGCTATAGGATAAACACTGGACTGCTAACTGGAAGGCTGGAGGTTCAAACACACTAGCAGCTTCTCTTTTGGTACTTAAGGACAACATATCAATATGTATGTGTATTTCTTCTTTTTTTTAGAAAAAAGTAGGATCAAACCATCTGTACTTTCTAAAACTATGGGGTTATTTTTGCTTACTTATACAAGGGGGCTTCAAAAAGTTCATGGAAAAATGGAATTAAATGACAATGGAATTTTCCCACAAACTTTTTGAAGCCCCCTTGTATATATCGTCTCCTTTCTAATACACAGATATCCTTAAAGAGAGGCAAGCCTGTAGTAAAACTTGCGTCATGTTCAGACAAAGAATATATGAAAAAGACTAAAAGGTTGAAGGACTACTTAGTTATGGAGTCTTCTATTACACTAAAATATACATGGGTGCCAGACCTAGCACCCAAATTTACCAAATGTTTCTGGCCTTAGAGGACTTTATAATGTCTCTAGGTCCCAGACAATAATTAGTATCTGTCTCATTAGGGCTACTGTAGAAATAAAAAAAGAAAACATGTGTAGTAATACTTAATAAGACCATTGCCAAGGACTATGGTGAATATTCAATAAATGGTGCATAAATTGTTATTTTTGTTTTAGGAAAAGAAAACCAAACTATGTGATGGATTTGAAAACTGAAAAGCACCTTACATATGTAAAGTCTTCAGGCAGAATTAAAACCTACAAGCAAGGAGAGAAACACAGGTGAAGGGTAGAGAAGGCATCTTAAAATGGCAGCCAGTCTTCAACTATCCCCAAATAAAAGTTCCTAAAGGAGAGGGTGTCATTGGCTACCCAAAAGGGGGGGGGGGGGCTACAAAGGCAAGAAGTGACTGGTTTACAAGCTTTCAAGAGGGAACCTAGATCCAGAGGGTGTGGAGGAAGATAGAATCTCCACTGAGTAGTATCCCATCTGTGATGCAATAGTGAATAATTGTCATCAGGACTGATTGTGATGGTTGGAAATGTAAAGGTCAACATTTTGTAGCAAGGAGGGGAATGATTCACTTTTCAGTCTAGGAGTGGAGGTCCCTGAGACCATCAAGATAGAAGAGCGGAGAACGGGACCCTACCCAGAGAAGCAGTGATGCCTGAGATGGAGGCAGAGACAATGACGTGGAGAGATGGAGCAGTTGGGGACTTTAGACACAGAGAGGGAGAGGGGCTGTATGCTGTGGCAGGCTTGTAATGTATACCCTTTGGTTGGGTGATGATGCATGGAGGGGATTATAACCATGGCAATGAAACACTATACGATAGGATGAATGTAAAAGTAATGCTTTCCCATGGAAACTATCACATAATTCACAATAAAACATAAAAAAAAAAAAAAAGAGAGGGTGTCAGTTCCAGGTTGGCCCACATCTAAGGTAGATACAACCTCTACAACTGGTGTATTGAAGAGATCAACACCTCTCCACAGAAACTGACTCCAAGGAAACATTAGAAATGCAGGGAAGATCTGCTTCCTTCAATCCAGTGGCCCTTCTCAGAAAACAGGACCCAGGAATAATGGCTACCTCTATGCCTTCCTTAACGTCATCAGAAATACCCCATCCTCATCACTAGGAAGTCGCCCTGGCAGGGAGAGCAATCAGCAAATAGTCACCTGGTCTTTGATCAGCTCCAGGGCAGCTTCTTCAAGATCCAACTCATAACAGAGCCTCATGAAGAGGGGTCCAAACTTATATTCTCCCAGATTGACATTTCTGTTTTCTGCATGGTACCTGGCAATCAAAACAGTTCAATGAGTCAACAGGTGGGGTACAGGGAGAAGGACAGACACAGACCATGACAGATGCTCTGCTACATTCCAGACATAATGAAGAATGAGGTACCTGCATCGTCTAGAGGTGGGGATGGACAGATTGTAGGGGAATCAAAAAATTCTGAGGTAGAATTATATCAGGTATTTAAAATACCAAAACAGAAACAAAATAAACCCCAAATATACAAACAAGCAAGTTAGTTAGAGGTTGGCATAGCCTGTGAAATTAAAGAAAAATATACATTTTAATCATCTTTTAAGTCATAAACAATCCTCCCGGGACCAAGAATGGACATGTTAGGGAAGAGTAGGGTAGGGGACCTGCTTGTCTAAGAGCATCTTGATGGCACCGTATCATTGTATGCACCACCTAACCCACTGCCAAGGTGATTCAGACTTTTAGCAATAGGACACAGCAGACTGCTCCTTAGTGTTTCTGAGACTGGAAATTTTTAGGTGATCAGACAGCCTTACCTACCTTGCTCTGTTGTTGTTAGATGCCACTGAGTCAGTACCAACTCACACTGCCTGGTCCTGGGCCAACCTCACAATTGTTGCCACACTTGAGCCCATTGATGCTGCCACTTTGCCAATCCATCTCGCTACCTATCTTGCTAGTAGCCCCACAATTAACCCGGATGTGGTTCCTCAGGCCTCATCTAGAGGAAGCAAATGAAGAAGTATACTGATGCTTTATCTTCCACAAAACTGTTCCATCCCCGTAGAGGGTGGTAGACAACCAACAGATGTATTTTATAATTTATAGCACTCTGATTTTCTAAGCAAGAGAAAGGCATATGTCTGCTACAATCATCTATGCAAACAAGTTAAATTCAGTTTTGAAATTTTGAGTTTTAAGAAGATGCTATTTCAATGATGGTGATGTCTTATATATGGCTTGAGATTTCTACAAGTCTGCCAAGGAACCCTGGTAGCACAAATGCCTGCTAACTGAAAGACTGATGGTTAAAACCTACCAGCAATCTACCCAGAAGTCTGTTCCCATGACAATTCCATTCTAGAAAACCCTACGGGTATGTTCTACTGTGTCATGTGTTAGAATCGACTCGATGGCATGCAATAACAGCCTATCTGTCAGTTAGAACCATATATTGTAAGTAGAAACTTACTTTGAAAAACTGTCTCTGATTTAGACACTAAAAACACAATCGGTGACACTTTATAAAAAAGCACCTCATGTCTGCAAATCAGATTTCAGGAAAATTCATTATTTGAGAATGTTTCTCAAATACCATGGGCTAAATCATAGAAGAATTGATGCCTTTGAATTGTGGTGTTTGGGGAGAATACTAAAAGAGCCATAGACTGCCAAAAGAGCCAATAGATCTGTTTTGGAAGAAGTGCAACCAGAGTGCTCCTTAGAGGCCAGGATGGCTAAACTTCATCTCTCATACTTTGGACATATTGTCAGGAGGGAACAGTCGCTGGAGAAGGATGTCATGCTGGGTAAGGTGGAAGGTCAGAGAAAAAGAGGAAGACCCCCAATGAGATGGATCAGCCAGGTGGCATCATTGATGGCATCAAGTGTGGCAGTAGTAGTGAGGTTGGCCCAGGATCGGACATTGTTCCATTCTGCTGTGCATGGGGTCGCTATGAGTCGGTTCCGACTCGACAGCACCTGACAACAACAACAACAAGCTCTAACTTTAAAACTGTAAATCTTCAGAGAACTGACAGTCTCATCCCTCTCCTGCTGAGAGGTTGGTGGGTTTGAGTTGTCTACCTTATGGTTGAGTCCTGGTGTGGCGCTGTGGGTTAATGCGCCAGACTGCAAAGCCATTTGAATTGCAAGGTCGGCAGTTCAAGCTCACCAGCTGCTCCTCGGAAACCCTATACAGGGTCACTATGGGTCAAAACTGACTCAACAGCACTTAACAACAACCATCTTTGTGGTTATCAGCACAATACTTAACCCACTGTGCTGTTAGGACTCCTTGCATTACTGTGACAATAACACTGTGTCTAAGCAAATACACTGCCAAATAGAATGGCAATATTTTTAAGATACATTTCATAATCCAACTATGTCACTGTTGTTGCTAAGTACTGTCAAGTCGGTTCTGACCCATAGTGACCCTGTATAGGTTTCCAAGGAGTGGCTGGTGAGCCTGAACCACTGGCCTTGCAGTCCAGCGCATTAGCCAGCAGCACCACATAATCCAACTATAGCAGTTACAAATAATGTTCATCTGCATTCACTGTAATGTATCTGAGTAAACTATTAAAATATGATATAGTGTCACTAAAGGTTAAGACTCTGGCTCCAAACTGACTGGGTCTGAATCCCAGCCCTCCTATTTTACTGTGTAACCTTGAGTAAATTTGCATCTGTTTCTTCACATGCAAAATGGAGATGTGAGTAGCCAACTCCAAGAGTGTGTGAGGGCTTAATGAAGCAATGCGCCTGGATCATTATCTCGATACATGCTAGCTCACATAATTTAAGACACACTGGGGAAAACATCTTTAAAAAATCAACATTATTTTAAAATCAACATTATTTTTGCCTCATGAGCTACTTGTTCCAGATTGAAAACAAAATAATGCAAACCCAACACAGATTTTCCATTTTAAATGACACTCACACTAATGGAAGTGCTAGAAAGGCACTGAGATAATGTATCACCTTCTTCTTCACAAGAAACACTCCAAGACGGGGGATCCAAAGTCCCGCTGTAAACAATATTTGTTCAAGAGGGAATAAAATCCACTGCCAGGGAGTCGGTTCTGACTCATAGTGACCTTGTATAGGATTTCCAAGGCTGTAAATCTTTACAGGAGCAGAAAACCTCTTTGTCCTGCCGAGCAGCTGGTGGACTGAACTGCTGACCTTGCAGTTAGCAGCCCAATGTGTAACCCACTACACTGCCAGGGCACTATCAAGAAGCGGTAAAGTTACTGCCAATTTTGAGCTCCATATATAGCCATGTTCTTGTTCATCATGTGCTCCTCTTTCTCAGTGATGAACTGCCTGTGTCGGGAAGAGAAAGAGCAGGCTGGTGAGGCCACGGATCTACTATCTTCCCATGTGTCTAGCTGTCCACAAGTAGAGGGAAAGGACAACAAGCAGAGAGCTAGTAGCATCAGTAAAGGAATTATCAGTCATACTTTGAACATTTCTGGTAAAAATAAGACTAGAAAGAGTGGTCAGAATTTTTATACTGTTTTGTTAGTCTTGCGAACACCTAAGAGGTTTTAATTGTAGAGAAAGGGGTGAGAGTTTCTCAACCAATAAACTTTGTGAAATTGAAAGAGCAAAGTTAGATTTGTTGGTACAGTGACTGTAAATTAGCACTATTGTTGTTAAGTACTGCTGAGTCCAGTCTGACTCATAGCAACCCTGTCTAGGGATTCTGAGGTTGGTGGGCTTGAACCGTCCAATGCTTATTTTATGAAGCCTCCATGCCCCCTGTAAATTAGCATAGCCCTTTTAGAAAGTTTATACTAACAAGCTTTAAAAGGTTTATACCCTCCCATCCCCAAAATAAAATATAGAATAGATTTTATTCATCAAGTTGCTCATCATGGCATTATTTATCCTGCTGAAAAACTGGAAATAATTTAGATGTTGAATTGTTGTTGCTAAGTGCTGTATTCCTATTTTTGAGGAACAGCTGGTGAGTTTCAATGGTCGACCTTAGGTCCAGTGCTTATCCTACCGTGCCACACAATAGGTTAAATCACTTTCAAAATCAAATGAGCCGTGTTGGTGCAGTGGGTTACGCTTCGGTCTGTTAACTGCAAGGTTGGCGGTTCCAACCCATCAGCTACTCCATGGGAGAAAGAGGAAGCTGCCTGCTACTATAGATTTAAAGCCTCAGAAACCCTACACAACAACAACATAAGTCAGAATGAACTCAATGGCATCTGGTGGTTTTTTAGGTTTTAACATACAATTTGTGGTTGTTATAGTTAACAAAACACTGCCTGGTCCTTCACCATCCTCACAATTGTTGTTACGTTTGAGCACATTGCCAAAGCCACGGTGCCAATCCATCTTGTTAGGGGTCTTCCTCTTTGTTACTGACCCTCCACTTTACCAGACATAATGTCCTTTTTCAGAGACTGGTTCCTCCTGATAACATGTCTGAAGTATGAGAGCCAAAGCCTTGTCATCTTGGCTTCTAAGAAGCATTCTGACTGTTCTTACAATACAGATCTGATTGTTCTTCTGGCAGTCCATGGTACTTTTAATCTTCTCCTTCAAAACCATAATTCAATCTTCCTTATTCACTGTCCAATCTTCACCTGCATATGAGGCTATTGGAAATATCATGGCTTGAGTTAGACGCACATTAGTCCTCAAACTGATATCTTTGCCCTTGAACACTTTAAAGACGTCTTGTGCACATTTGCCTAATACAATACAGTTTGATTTCTTGAATGCTGCTCCATTAGTATTAACATACAATAAGATACTGTATAAACATTTAAAGTCTGAGCTCTAAGTATGTGGTTAAAATGCAAGACATTTTTACTATAATCACTAATTTAGGAAACTAGGAAACCAGTAATCATTAAAACTATGCAAAATAAAACCTTTCAAAAACCCCAGAATCTGTGTAGCAATAATATGTGTGAAAAAATACATGAGAGACTAGGAAGTGGTGGTAATTGGTGGTTATGTGCTATGGAGTCGATTCTGACTCATAGCGACCCTGTATAGGGTTTCTGAGGCTGTAAGTCTTTCTAGGAGCAGAAAGCCTCATCTTTCTCCCACAGAACCACTGATAGTTTCAAACTGCTGACCATGAGATTGGCAGCCCAACTCATAACTACTATGCTACCACAGTTCCTTGACTTAGGAAGTAGAAGCAATGAAATTTCATATCCTATCAAAGAGAAGAGGCAAATGAGATAAGGGAAAGGAGCCTTCCAAATATCTGTCCTGATTGAGAGTCAGTGAGATAGAAAATACAGGAGAGGAACACACTGGTAAATGTTGGATTTAAGACCTAGAAGACATATAAGTGGAGATGGGGAAGAGCTGATGATTTCTTTTGGCATGAACTACCTATTCTTCTATCCTCATCACCTGGTACACAGTAGGAAACCAGTGTTTGCTGAAGGAATGAATGAATATAAAAGTCTGGAGTTCAAGTCAGATGGCTGGCCAAACAATCTGGAAGTCATTAGTGAAGAGGTGACAGCTGAATTCTTGGATGTAAGAGCTCAGGAAAAGGATCAGAGTGAACCGAGATGAAGGCTGGCAGGATTTTAAGGAAATGCTCACCTGTAAACGACACTTTTAGCAAGCTGCATATCAGCCCGGGAGTCACACAAATGAAGCAAGTTTTTCAACTCTTCCTTGAAGATGAGTTGGTTCTGGATCAATTTCTCTTCCAAGTTTTTAAAATACGTTTCTGGAAGAAAGCACAGTATGGTGGTCATCACCGGGGCTGACTGGACCTGTCAGGTGGCTGCCTGAGGAAGAAGGAACACCTGGTCCTGGCTCACTTCTAAGGGTACGGAGCACGGGGCTTCCTCGCTGGCTAGCTTCCTCTGGAGCAGTGTGTCAGAACACGGCCTTAAACTCAAACATCTGCATTGCCTGGAGCACAGTCCCAGGCCCCACTCAAGACTTTCCAAGTCAGACTCTCTGGGGGCTCTGGCGTGTCTGTGTGGGGAAGCACACAAACACACATTTTCTGTTCCATTGGTGCCGCTTATGCACACTACAGTATAAGAGAGACTATGCCGGAAATTTAGCACAAAACACTGAATCTAAAGGGGACACATGAGGGGAAAAAACATAACCAAGGTACTCAGACGATCAATTGGCAGGGTATCAAGCAAGAAAATTGAAAGGAAAACAAATAAACAACGGCTTTACCCACAGTGCTTGACCCACACGATTCAGGAATACTTTCCACTTTTTTCATTTGATTCCACTTGACCTCTCTGTCATTCCTCATGATGTCTCTTTACTCAGTTTGTGAGGAAGGATGGCACTGCACTGCATAATGTAGAATGGGTAGAATACGGTCTCTAAGCAGCAGCAAACTTTACAGAATCATTTCAAGACAGTCAGTCTACCCTTGTCCTTTGTCATTTCTGCAAAGAATTTCTGATCTCTGATCAATTGTGGGGACAAACACTAAAGAAAACACAACCTCTTGGCATTGGGAAGGAGCTGCATTCTCACCAGAATGTGGAATGAGATACAAGGCAGGCACCGAGCAAGCATCTGCTTTCCAGCAGGCGAGGCTATTCTCAGCATCAGAAGCTGCCAAGGAAAGTCTACAGGATTTGTTCCAGTGCTCAGAGCACTGAAGGCATGTGCTTACAGGAGCAGCATGGAATGTGTAGAAAACACAGGCACAACAGGCTCAGGCACACGATACTACTCTCGGTTTAAAAGAAGACCCATTAGGCTGGAGACAATGCAGAGGGTCTGCCAATCTTATAGAACCATGTGATGATCATTAAAGGTTTTATAGACGTGATGGGCCTGGGCTGACTGAAATCTAGGCTCTGCTTCTGGGAGACACGATCATGGCATCTGCTTCAACAGGCTGTCCTCGAGTAACACATGGAAAACACTGAGCACTGGACCTAGCATATAATAACTGGAAGCAAATCCCAGGCATTACTGTTCTCATTGTCATTTCTCCTGTCACCTGTTAGATTGCAGAGGATTTATTCTACTACATATTTCTAAACAACTTCCAATCAAATAGATTTCAGAGGAATGGCTACATCTTGTCAGATCTGTGCTTGAAAACAAGTCAGTCTGATGTAAGTACTTACCATATATTCATCCTCAAAGGTATCCCTCTTTGTGTGAGACACAAAGTTACAAGATACGGTTGCTACCCTCAAAGAGCTTAGAGTGTATTTGGGAAGAGCATACATATTTAAATTAAGTAATTGGAAAATAGTGATGGAGAAGTGACACGTGACTAATTATATGCAAAACAGGGGAAGACAGAGTGAGTGGTAGGAATAGACCCGGAGTGGTAGAAGTAGGATACCAGCAAGATAGATGGGGAGGGGGAGGGGGGCCTGGATAAGGTTGGGTAAACTATGGGGCATTCAAGGTATGGAAATCATGATTGACTTGAGAATGGACTTGTCCTTAAAGGGGAGTACTGTGACTAGATTAACAGGGAATCCTAACAAGGACAGAGTGGGGGGCACGTACGGAAGAGCTAGGAATCCCACTGGGGTGCTGCAGGGATAGCACTGGACCACAGACTGCAAAGTCAGCAGTTCACATTCACCAGCTGCTGCTCAGAAACCCTATACAGAGTTGCTATGAGTCGAACCCAATTGTTGTTGTTAAGTGCCACTGAGTTGGTTCCGACCCATAGCGACCCTGTATAGGGTTTCTGAGGAGCAGCTGGTAAGCTTGAACCGCCAACCTTGCAGTTCAAATGGCTTTGCAGTCTGGCATATTAACGCACAGCGCCACACCAGGACTCCATCGAACCTAATTAGACGACACTTAACAACAACCAGAAGACATGGGGGTGAGTCTGTGTATGATGTGGTATACAGCACTACACCAGTGTGGGGTCTTACATGAGCAAGTGTTGACAGGGTCTTATAAAGAGCAGCGTAGAGCGGAGCAGATTGGAACTGATCATATTAACAGCCTTGCAGAACGTGTGCTCTTTACATTTTTATGAGGCTATGAAAACTCAAGCAGCAAGTAGACCGTGACCTAACTCTGCAAACCTCACATCGCTCTAAAATAAATGGGTGGAAAGGGAAAATGGAGTGACATCTAGACTGATTCTACTAAACTGGAGATGACGATACTGTTGCCCACCATCTGCTTGATCCATAGGTGGTATCACAGACGGTATGATCAATTGAAAAGTGAGGGAAAACGGATTTTTGGAGAACTGGACTTTGAGGGCATAGAGGCAGGTGCTCACTAATGTTAGGCAGTGACAGGAAGGAGAACCGGACCTACTGATGAAGATATCAATAGGAACACACGCACAGAGCTCTTTAAAGAGAGGGGCAACTTGGCTGTGTTTATTCACGCTGAGTTTAAAGTATTGAGGGAACCTCAGCATGCAAAAGAAAGGGAACAGATGTAACAAGATTTTTCAGATCCTGGAAAGAAACCAGACTAGGGATATGGTGCCCTTGTTTTCCTTTTTCTTCTTAGATTTTTATAAAAAGCACTTTAAAATATACTGAAAGTAGAAAGACAGTAAAAGAACCCCCATGTACTCATCACCCAGCATCATCAATGATCATAATTTTGTTTCCTCTATCTCTGGTAGCATAGAAGCTGAAGAAAATGAAAACAAGTCCACGAGAGCAAAATATGAGCTTGAATGTATTCCACCTGAATTTGGAGATCATCTGAAGAACAGATTGGATACATTAAACACTAAAGACTGAAGACCAGAAGAGTTGTGGGATGACATCAAGAACATCATACATGAAGAAAGCAAAAAGTCATTAAAAAGGTCAAAATGGACATCATAAGAAATACTGAAACTTGCTCTCTAGCATAGAGATGCTAAAGCAAATGGAAGAAATGAGGAGGTCCAAGAGCTGAACAGAAAATTTCAAAGATCAGCTCGAGAATATAAAGCTAAATATTACAATAAAATGTGCAAAGATCTGGAATCAGAAACTCTCAAGCGGAAGAACTGAAGAAAAAATTC